GCCGCTCTTGGGACCCGCTCCCCCGACAGCGACACTACAAGGGTGCGGCAGCTACAGGGAGTGGCCCTCCCCACCCTGACTTAAGCACTTCTATTTATGTGTCCTCCGCTGGAAGACTCTGGGCTGGGGGTGGACAGGAGGAGGAGGAGGTCTCCAAGGACATCAGGCCACGGGACCAGGCTCCTGTTCTGGAGGGACCTGGCCAGCCAGGCCTGCCCCGTTGCAGGCAGGAGTCCTGGGTGCTGGTGGGATGGTCCCCCAGTCGTCCTGGGCACGGGACCAGACAGGAAGCGTGGCGTGGGAGGGGCGGTGAGTGATGGTGGTGGTTGCCATTGGTAGGACAGCCCCAGACAGGGTGGGGCCGGGGCGGGGGCGGGGGGATGGGAGCAGAGGATCAGAGCTTTCTTTTTCTTAAGTGCAATAAATCTATCAGGGAGCTGGGGCGGGCAGCAGCCAGGGTTCGGGGACCCTGCTGCCCAGGCCACTTGAGGCTGCGCCCTGAGAGGCACTACAACCCGAGGGTGGGCGGGCGGCATGGGTGCGGGTGAGGGTGGGCAGAGGGCTGGGGAGGGGCTACTCCTGTCGGTGCAACTCTGTTCACACCTTTTCTAATAAACCGGGGCTGGGTTCACCACCTGCCTGCTCTCTGCTTTGTGCTGATCCTCGGTGCTCCTGGCAGGGAGGGGAGTGGGCAGGCGGAGCCACGTCTTCTCCCGGCCCCCTGTGTGTCCTCCCTCTGGGGTCTCACCCACCAGCTCACGGGCAGCCCTGCTTACACCCAGCCTCGCCCCAAATAACTCCCAGCTTCAGGTCTGGGTTCTCAGGGTGCTAGATGTGGCACTTGGGGTCAGAGGTCTTTCCTCTGCCCAGTCACGTGTGGCTCAAGGGGAGCAGATGCCAGCCTGTCCTCTCCAGCCCCAGCAGCCTGTCTGCGCAGCCTGCTCCCTTCCCCAGCACGTTCCTGGGTGCGGCGGGACACTGGTGAGCATCTGGGAGCTGTTTCTCCCTTTAGAATCGGAGAGAACCAGCCGGCGGGGCAGGCCTGGGCCACCCACCCGCTTCTTTCCCGTGCGGGTGGCTGATGCAGTTGAAGGTGGCAAGGTCATGAGAACCTGCCGGCCAGGAGCCCTGGTGCCATTTGGCTCCTGCATAAACCCAGCAGTCATCCTGGCCCCAGATGCCTTGGCACTGTGATAAACACCTTGCTTATTTAAGCCAGTTGGTTGGCCCTTTGGTCACCTGCAGCTACAAGTGTCCTAATTGCTCCCTGGGACAACCACAGTTGGGACTGTCATTTGGGCGAGGGGCTCAGGGAAGCCATACCGTGCAGCCAGCACCAGCTGTAGCCCCCTTCCTGTCCCTCGGGCAGTGGGGGGACACCCGCGAAGCCAGTGTCATCCCCGGCTCTGAGCTCTGGGCAATGTCGTTCTGCCGCCGCCCACTGTGGCCACGTATGAGGCGCATGTGGGAGGACCCCCCTCTCCAGGGTGCCCCAGATCCGGCCCCCTTCTCGGGGAGAGCAGGAGCGTGAGGTGTTTGTCTCAAGGTGCGGAGACGCTGCAGTCCTTCGCCTGCCTGGCTGGCGTCAGCCCAGACCCCAGAGATCTTCGTGGGCCTTTGGTCAGTTTCGGCCGTTTGCCACGAGGTTCCGCATTGTCTCAGCGGGGACGGCTGTGTCAGGTGCTCGCCCAGCCCCTGTCCCTCTGCCTCCACCTTAGGTGGGGGTGGGGACGTGGGGGGCTCAGTTTGCCCCTCCTGCGGCACCTGTGAGGGGCCGGGGTCCTCCCCCCAGGCTGTCCCTGGCCCCTGCCTGCGCTACACGTAGCCTGTGTCGGGAGAGGAATCGGACGTCTCCGCCGGTTGGGGATTGCATGGTGTCTGCCCCACACAAAAAAGGCATGTTCAAGTCCTAGCTCCCAGTACCTTACTTAGGAAGTGATGTTATTTGGAAACAGGGTCTTTACAAAGGTAATCGAGTTAAAATGGGATCATCAGCATGGGCCCTAATCCAGTATGACTGGTGTCCTTAAAGGGGAACTGGGACACACAGGGAGACCTCTGAAGACAGAGGATGGGGTGACGCATCTGCAAGCCACGGGACGCCTGAGAGTGCCAGCGACGCCCCAGAAGCTGGGAAGAGGCAAGTCCCCCTTAATTTTGGACTTAGGCCTCGAGCGATGAGACAATGAACTTGTTCTCAGCCACCCAGACTGTCATGCTGTGTCGTAGCAGCCCCAGGAAAGGAATACGGCAGCCCCGAAGTGCTCCTGGTTTTCTGACTTTCGGGGGTTCTGGATCGATGGCTGGAGGCAGAGAGGAGCCCCTTCGACAACTGTTCGCTTCCCTTCAGCCCCCCGCCGGGCATGGCCCAAGCCTGACGTGCGTCTGTAGCCTCTGCTGAGGACACGAGGGGTCTCTTTTATTACTTGGCTTGACCCTGTACCAAATCTTAAAGATCTCAGTGCCCTAACACAGGAGATGACCGTTTGCTGTCACATGTGGTGTTCACAGTGGCAGGCAGCTGTTCACCAAGTGATTCGTGGACCCAGGCCCCTTCCTGTGGTTCTGTCACCCCCCAGGGGCTCAGGAGCCCCTGCGTCCAGCAGGCAGAGGCAGGGGAGGGAGAAGGCAAACCTGCTTCACTCACTGCCATGGCGGGAAAGGGGCGTGTGTCGCTCGTGCTCCTTTCTCTGGGCGAGAACTAGTCCCCGGCCTCACCTAGGGGCAAGTTCCCAGAAAAGCTCCACACCGTAGGGAGGAGCGTGGGACCTGGCGGACAGCAAGCTGCCCCAGCCACAGCGAGCCGCTCTGATGTCCTGCTTTGGTTCACACACTCCCCCAAAACTGTAGCTGCAGAGGCACGTGGTCAGAGTCATAGCTCACTGTAACCTCGAACTGGGCTCAAGCCATCCTCTGCCTCGGCTTCCCAAAGTGCTGGGATTACAGGCGTGAGCTGTGCCCGCCATGGTCAGTCTTAAAACGGGCAACAGTTTTGACCGCTGCGTGGGTACCACATAAAGCACTGCAGCTTCTTACTAGGTCATGGGGGGTCCTCAGTGCCCCCCGCCTCCAGCCACGTCCGCACATAGTGTCTGTGTCTTAAACCACCCACTCCTGGTGCCAGGAGTAAACATTTATTTTCAGCCTGGACTCTAGGTGGTTAAGAAACAAACCCACTGAAACTGGCTTAAGGGAGGCGAAAAGGAAGGGAGATAAGTTGGCCCCAACAGCACATTTACAGAGACACTGGCTTACCAGTGTCACGAGGCCCCATGTCTCTCCCTCTGGTGGCTCCAGTCTTGGGCAGCTCTCCCAGCAGGCCCAGGCCTGTGCCCCCAGCTTAGCCATGCCAGGCATGACAATCAGCGCCTGTGCGAGGACAGTTCCAGGGAAAATCACGGGGCTCCCACTGACCTGTGTCTACCTGTGACACAATCACTGTGGCCAGGAGAGACGAGTGCTGGGGTCGGCCAGGCCTGGATGCTGTGCCTGGCCTGGAAGCTGAGGCAGGTGAGGCCAGTGTCCCCACAGCCCCATGGCCTGAGGGTGGGTGCCTTCGAAGAGCTCTTGGGTTCCT